GAGGTTGCTCCAGCAGCAGCTCCTGTCTGTGGGGTGGGGGTGGGGGGTCCCAGCAAGGAGTTGAGACTCCCCCAGGAACAGCTGCTGTGTAAAGGGGCTGCTGGGACTGAGCAAGCCGGGTCCAGGAGCTAACCCTGCTGTGGCTCTGCAGTTAAAAGGTAGTAGGAGATGGCTCTTACTACGTTTAAACTACAGAGCCTCAGTGGGAATAGCTCCTGACCACCTTCCATTATCGACTATGTAGTGATACAAATTGCACTGACTACGTGATCCAGGAACAGCTGCTGTGTAAAGGGGCTGCTGGGACTGAGCAAGCCGGGTCCAGGAGCTAACCCTGCTGTGGCTCTGCAGTTAAAAGGTAGTAGGAGATGGCTCTTACTACGTTTAAACTACAGAGCCTCAGTGGGAATAGCTCCTGACCACCTTCCATTATCGACTATGTAGTGATACAAATTGCACTGACTACGTGATTACCCAGTTACGCACCTCTTAATAGCCTTATGATGCATCCTTTAATTAAAGTATGATAGTCTTTATGCATCTTGAGAGAGTACTTTTTTATTATGACAATGAAATTACAGTATTAAAGGGACCATATTTATTGATAGGGGCTTTTATATCTCCTCAATAAAAGTTATGCTAGTTTCTCAGCACATTCATAGTATACAGTTTCTTTTGACCCAAAACACAGACATCTTTATGTATAATAACCAGGGGGATAAGAATCTGTTAATTCATCTGGGAAGTTTGATGGCCCTATATATAACAGTATATTTTCATTATTCTCTGTTGTGTAGTTTAGTCTCAATCCCTCAGATTTATGGAGCATAATGTTGTGTGTGTAACACCTCCTCTGTAATTAGGAATATCTCCTTACTCTCTTTAACACATCTCTTTACACACAAACAGAAAGTTTTGTTCTGTTTCACAATCTCCTCAAATTTTCTTTCTACGTTATATCAATTATATATGCAAAAGTATTCTTTGATGTCTTAAAGCCAGATACTGTGAGATGCTAAGTGCTTCTTTTGAGACATTGATTACTGTCAAATTGAATCTTTTTACAGTCTTGTCTAAAAACTGAAACCTGTAAAGTTATTGGTATGTCTTCCATAATAACTGCTAGACTTGTACGGTATGCCAGAATTACCACCAACTGTTTTTCACTGATTAAGTGCACCAGTACCAAATATCTGACATCTTGGAATCAGGAGGAAACCTCTGTTGATGATTTATAGCTACTCTCACAGTGGTAGTGGTTACTCATCTTTCATTGACAATATTAGTGTGTTTCCTACTTCCTTCACAACCAAAACTGTACAGGCATTTCCTTCACTTTAAACTAAACTTAATGCCGATTTCATAATATCTTTCCTCCTTTCATTTTTACAAATTGTCAGTTAAGCACTTACGTTTTCATATCTTGTATTAATTTGTTTCTGTAGAACAAAATATTTATTGGTTCCTGTATACATTATTACCGCCCATTATTTGTCTTCATTTTTAATTTTGTTTCTACCTCAGTATATTTTCCTGTAGACTACATTGCATTCTTCTCTTGCACAAAGGGATTAATCTTTCCACGTGTTGTTTTCAGAAATGTGTCCCCAGACTTTTTCAATTAAATAAGTAATGCAGAATAAAATTAAATGCATATTTTAACTTGTCCTGGGTTTTCATTTTTATTTGAATATGGGTGCAGAGAGAGAACAAGAAAAGAAGTGTGATGCTTGAAATTAACATGTAAAAAACTAAAGTTTGGCAGTCACTGTGGTCATACGTTGATATATGCAAAGCTGGTTTATTATTTCATATTTATTGTTTAGAGGATTAAAGATTCAAAATATCACTTGTACCTTTAAAATTGCAAATTTAATTTTGCTATAATTCCTGAATCTTTTTTCCAAAATGACTTTGAATGCACATGAAAAAAATGCCCACACTCCTATGCAATATTGGAAAATCAAAGCTAGAGTAGCAAGCACTACAGATAATGATAATTTTCAATACAGTGCCTAATCACAAGAACATACAAGCATAAAAAGGGCAAATTACAAGCTACTGTATCATATATACATACCATCAAAAAAACATCTGGATAAATTAGCTTTTTGGCCTGCCAGCATTGACTGTGTTCCTTGAAACATTCAAAATAACTATACTTAGTTACTCAGCTCATATTTTGGATCTGATTATTATGAAGTTATATACTCAGATCTTTTCAGCACATCGTGAGTAGCTGATTATCACATTGTCTTTTTAGAAAGAAAGAAGGCTTATGGCTCCTCCTGAAATGTGAACAATTAAAAAAAAATTGTTTGCTGTTTCTGGAAAGATCAATAGTGCATTTATTTTGCTTTTAATCTTAAAAAAAAAAAGTTATCATTTGCTAGTGGAAATGTATAGTGTCATAGCTTCATGCCCCTATATTTTTAGCACAATGTAAACTTAATATACATTAACCGTGGTTGCATTTGTAACATGCTGTGGACCAATTCTAGGCAGCAGAAATGTCTGTCAGATAGGACTAAAAATTAGATTGTTCTCTAAATTTAAAAGCTGTTTTGTTGAGTGGAATATGGATGCATGCTGGGACACAGCAAACCATTCTCTTCTTAATATACAATTACACATTAAAAGTAAATTAAACATTGCCACTAACATACAAGTACTGTCCTCACATTTAAAAAAGACACAACATCTGTTGGGTGCTTGAGATAATGATTCTTTAAACTTTTGTTTTCCAGGATCTTCCTTCAAATCAAGCTGTAGTAAAGGAGAAAAGACACTAGAATTTGTTCCAGTAAATCTCCATCTGCAGAGAATGCATGTGCACAGTCCTCGGTTGAAAGGTAAAGTATCTTCCAGGGAAATGTCCTAATTGTGTCACTGACTTCAGTAAATGTGGTTTATGTATAATCAGGATATCTGCTTTCCTGTATCTTTTATAAACTGCATGCTATTTAACTCATAGCACTGCTATTGAAAAATCTCCTTTTTCTTCTTTTATTAAACCATTGTTACTTGACAAAGAAGAATGGTGCTTAGACAGGTGGGCCTTCAGAGTAAGCACTATATTCTCAATAGTACTAAAACACTTATTTCATATAATACCATATCTTGGTTACTTTGAAGTACCTGGGAAATTTTCCTTTGAATTCAGTGGAACCAAGGTTTGGCACATGCTTTTAAACTAATCAACATGATCCATGAAATGGTATGGTGGGAACCTAGTTAAATGGCTTACTTTCCCTTTCAGTAATACTGTACAATAGGCTTTTTAGTAGATTTAGGTACAATTTGCTGGCATGCGTTTACACTGATTTTAAGGTTGGGAGATTAGAGAGAAAAATTATTCACAAAAATTACAGAGACTTCTAAGGAGAATTTGGTTACGCTCTGTTTGTGACTATTATTGCTTGCTTTTGATCAGCATTCATCTGTGGAAAGCTTTGTTGGTTAAAATGTTTGTGGAAAATGAATTTTTAAACCATTGTTGAGATGTATATACTCATAAAACATAAGTAGAAATAGTTTATGAAGTTAAGGTCAGCTGATGAGGGAACATAAAAGAATATGTTGTGACTGGGATAACCAGTCACAAAGCTTAAGTGTTTGGTTATGGTTATTGAATATTAAAAGGAATACTTGTAATATGCTATTAACAAGTAATCCACAAGCTGGAATTTGTTTGTATAAAATATTCAGTTAACAATTTCAGACAGTGTACAAATGTCTCCCAAATGCATTTTGTTGGTGATGAATTCATGAAGAAGAAAAAGGGCTGAATTCACTTCATAAATTGTGTATTGTTCACCAGCTCTACTCTAAATTAACTTTTTCAACTGTCTCAGTTCATGTGATTTACTTCCCTTCAAATTTTGCTTTACGGTTGTAGTTTATTACGTGGCTACAATATTGGGTTCTAGTTATACCAGCTATTCTAAGATAGAAGTAAGAACTTGATCACAGAAATACAGTAAACTATTTGGATTGTTTATAGGCCTACTTATAAGAATGTTTCAGCAGTTAGCATAAGGCCTAATAGCAAGAATAGAAGTTATCACTCAAAGAGTTAACATATTAAAGTAAACTAATAGTGACCATAAGTCACAAGATGGCATTGGATTTTGTTTGTTGGTTTTTTTCATAATTGTAAGTCTTGCAGAGTGCTCATAAGTAATTGCAAGAAGGTAACTTGTACAATTTGACTGTTCTTGGTAGGGGAACATTAGCTAATAGTTGCCATGGTAATCCAGTTGATATTTGGGTTAATACATTTTGCTTAATTAATACACTAACCTATAAAATGAGGGCACACGAAGATTATGAGGGTGAGAACGTTAAAGGAGAGAAGATGCATGATTACATATGCATGAGGAAGACCAACAAGGTCTATAAAGCACAAGGTCAGAGCTAAGGTACAGCCACTGGAGTTCTTTATCAGTATGCCAGAGTTAGCCTAGAATCTGTCTCAACCTTTAGAGCTATCCCTAGGGATAGTGAGTTTGTACTTTAGTAATAGCTCTGATGGTCAGAGCTATCAGTAATAGCTCTGACCGTTTTATATTGCATTGCTTTACTTGGTTTGGATTGTTTTACCTATAGAGCTAATCATTGCAATCATAATACTTTCAGGTATGCTAGATCTTCTCTGAGCATAAGCATTGCTATGATGGCTATGTCCCCATAGGGCTCTTGGAGTAATAATTCTGACAAAACTGGGCCTGATCTTGAGAGAGAGCCTGCCAAATCTACAGAGTCCTAAGTGGGCAAACTAAGTCAATAACCTAATCAATGAGCAATGAAAAGATCAGGCAGTATTATGGAAAGACAAAATTCTAAACAAGGCCAATGAATTTTATGAAGTCCTACGTGTTAAGTATGTGCTTGAATGCAATAGGATTTGCAGGGAATGGTTTCACCCACAAGGTTTATCACATGCCCAGCTGTCACAAGTTTCATTATAAAACCAAAATGATTCAAAATTCAGTTTTGAAAAATACATTTACCTGCTGCTCAGGAGCCAGAAAAAGGTTTCACTTTCCATTTTGCGCTAAACCCTTGGGGTTGTAGTCCAATGTTTTTAAGCTTTCAGAACTATGATATTTAAGGAGTAGAGATCCTTGTTTGAGATGTTTCTGGAGAGAACAAGCACTGCTTACTTTCTGTGGCTTATATCTTGTATGTTGAGTAACTGAGAAAGTTATTACAGGTTGAAACTCTGGATTACGGGGTTTCCCCTAGTCCGGAAACACTCCTGGTCCGGCATCCTCGGGTGACCCCCGTAAGAGTGTCACAGGATAAGCCGTAGAGCTGGCGCCGGAACTGTTGCCAAACTAAGGGGTCAAGACAGAGTCCCCGGGGCAGTAGAGTGGCTGGGAAGAGCGCAGAGCCCCCGGTTCCTGAGGGGGAGCGTCGCTTCCTATCACGGTTGAGGGCTGCAGCATGGCTGCTGTATGAGAGCATGCTGGCAGAGGGAGCACAGAAACACTGGAAGGAGCACAGAGATCCCCAAGTGGTAGCAGAGCCACTTGGTGGAGCACAAAGGCCCGGGTGGCAACAGGGTACTGGGGGGAGTGGAGTATGGAACTGTCTGCAATGGCGGAGCCCCCAAGCAGTAGCAGAGCTGCTGGGGAGAAAAGAGCCCTCTTCCCTCAGCCATCATCAGGAGCACAGAGCCCCGGGTGGCAGCGTAGCCACTGGGAAGAGAATGGAGCTGCAGATGACAGTGAAGTCCCCAGCCACTGCATGGAGAGCGAATCCCCAGCGTAAGAGTGGAGCCCTGGGTGGCAGCTAAGTAGAGCTCCCTTCCTTTGGCGCTGTGGGGAGAACAGAGTCCTGGGTGAGAGTGGAGCTGGCTGGGGAAAAGCAGAGCTCTCAGGGGCCAGGGGGAAGCAGGACCCCTTTCCTCTCCTCCCCCCACACACACATTGCATTCACCTCCCATTGTGCGGCAAATTCCCTGGTTCAGGACCAGTCAGGTCCTGAGGGTGCCAGACCAGGAAGGTGGTACCTGTACAATAAAAAAGCTTTATTCTCTATCAAAATTATCTACCTAATCCTTACTCAGGCAAAATGCCCACTGAAGTTATTGAGTATTCTGCCTGAGAAGAGTTCAAGATTTGGCCCAATGTTAAAGCTTTATGAAGAATGTAGAACTGATTGCAGTGATGCATCTTAAGGCTTTACTAGCTGCCAAGATATCAACTTAGTGTGATGTATGAAGCTGTGAGATTCTGGTACTGAATACAGACTTTGAGAAATTAAGCAATTGTCCCAAGTTCCTTTAGAGAAATTAGGAGGATTCTGTTTTAGTAAAGATCTATTTCTAAGATGAATAATAGTGATAGTAAGGCCTTACTTCTAGAAATGCTGTAGCTACAGCTACAGCTAAAGTCAATGGAATTTGTGGATGTAGAGCAGCTGCTGGATTTAACTGAGTAAAATGACCATCAGAAACAATGGAGTTTTTGATAATGCTTATGGACTGACAGTGAACTAAGATTTCAAATGTAGGATATTAATTTTTGTTCAGATTTTTCATTGAATTACCAGGGAGTTGAGTACTATATGGTGTTTCCATACTAATTACTGAACTGGTTGTGAGGCATTAGAAAGTGATTTGCTGAGAGAGTACATATAAAGGAATTTGTTAAAGTTTGATTCTTGGCAGAGTCAGGATATAGGGCTAAAGTGATGGGATTTTAAACGAGGTGATTTCTCACATGATGATTTGTGTTCATTTCCAGTGTAATGTGGAATATTCTCTGAGCTCTCTTCATTCCCTTACTGCTTTTTAGGCTGTGTCACGTCATTCTAGCTTTATTAGAAAGGGGTGTGCTGAGGTGGGAATGTTCTTAATGTTTTCTCTGAATACTGTGTGTGCCCCTCAGTTTACTTTTATTGCTTAAATATCTAGGTTGTGGGAGAACAGGTTGTAAACAGGCCTTTAAAATGCAGGTGTGACTACCATCTGGCTGTATTCTGACAGCTGACTGCTAGGGCCCATACTCTGTAATAATTACCTGAAGGTGTTGGAAAGCAAACTGAGAAGTGACACCAAGAGACCAGTTTGCCTGAGAAAAAGATGGAGAAGGACAGCTGTGCATGATCGAGGCTAAACCATTGTAAGCAGGTCAGTCTTCTGGTTTGGGTCTCTGGGGGCAGGGGTGGATAATTCTAGGCTCTGGGTACTTCTAAGGTCTATTTTGCTGCATATTCCTAACTTCTGGACTAACAAGATCTGTTCTAAGCCGTGTTTCTGATGACTAATAAACTTTTTAGTTTTACCCCACTGGCTGAAAATCACTGCTGACTGGAACGGTGGGGCTCATGGCCCTTTGTGGGGCATGTGATGCTTTCTCAACCGTCCCATCCACATGGTTACCTGATGTGAACAGGGGTACTGACTGTTCCACGGTCATAGCCAGGAGATGCTGAAGCCAAGGAGGCATGCTCTATGGAGAGTGTGCCCTGAGGGGGAGAGACTGCATTAGAGTCCTATCTAACTTGATTCCGAGTGGTTCCAGAGCACTTACAGGAGCTAAGTGTGTACAAGATCATCCTACTCTAACAGAGGGGAGACTTGGGTTGAGGTGGAAGCTGTATGGCAGAAGGATGAATCCCTTTTGAAAGGCCTAGGGATTGTTTGGGGAGTGAAGTGGGAGGGTAGCATCTTTCAGGATCTCATTTTTCTAATTAACAGAGCTTAGATGCCTGAGACCGGTGGCAGGGTTTTCCCAATGAAGGACTCTTGACTTCAAAATGTGCCTCACCCATGAACCACTTAGCACTCCTTACACAGAGTGCAAATCCTATCTGTTCTCTCAGGCCTTTCCTCTAAGAAGAG